TGGAAATCTCACACAGTTTTATTCATACACACACACAGAGCTTTGTATTTATTTGAGTGATTGTAAATGTAGGATTTTACATAATTCTCCTTTACTAAAGTTTCTAACTGATCTTCTAACCAGGTGTGCTGCAAATGCACCAAAGAGTGCTATTCTCTGAAGAGAAGCTGATTTAAAACCTCTTTTTCACAGAGCTGCTCCTTAAAGCATTCACACTGCTGTTTGCTTACTCTAGGAACAGGAAGATCTTCATCACCACCTAGAAATAACCTTGTACAGCACAGCTGAGTCTGCAGCCCTTTGTCACCAGAAGAAAGGGGAAGCAGCATCAGTCTTCGGTCTCCTGTCACTTGTGTCTGCAGCTGTGGTACCAGCATGAAGTCCCCTTCTGTCTGTCTTCCCTGTTTTTAGTCAATTACATAAGGCCTTTTTTACTGATGTGTTATCTTGCATGAATTAATCAGTCTTGTTGCAGAAGTAGCCTTAGACTTCTAAGAGCACAGATGATATTAAGCAAGACCTCTTCTCTCATTCATGCTGCGGGAAGTTGTCTACAAACAATTCCATTAAACGCACATTGACCTGTACTTCAAATAACCTGTGTACAAGGTTATAAGATGGATATTTTCTCCCTAATTGAAGCACTGTTGGAAGCTCTAGACATATGCTTCCTACTGGCTTTGACCAGAGAAGGGTAAGTAAGGTGCATGTGGAGCATAGCTAGCAAATGCTCCTCCAGTTCATTCTGTTTCCTCCTAAATTCAATTTTGTTTCTTCCTCAAAATGTTTTCAGAAACTTTTCAATATGCCTTCATTCTAATTGCATATTTGATTTAAATGAAAACTCAAAAAACACCCCCAGCTGGCTCTTCTGCCTTTTGAGTTTTTCAGAAAATGATCTTCCTGAAAATGAAATGCTGCACCACAGTGATTCATCAAAGCTCTTGATAAATGATCCCACCCAGCATTCACCCATCTGTCAGCTCCTCTTGTTTGTCTCTGTGCTACAAGTCCTTAGCCAGGCAAAGTGTCTATCGCAAAACAGAGATTGTAAGTACCACTATCCTGGTTTTGGCTGGGATGTAGTTAATTTTCTTCCTAGTAACTGGCACAGTGCTGTATTTTGGCTGATAACACACCAATGTTTTTAGTTGTTGCTAAGTAGTCCCTACCCTGATCAAGGACTTTTCAGTCTCTCAGGCTGTGACAGTGAGGAGGGGTACAAAAAGCCCTAAGGGAGCACAGACAAGACAGCTGACCCACACTAGCCGAAGGGGTATTCTATACCACAGCACGTCATGCCCAGTATATAAACTGGGGAGTTGCCCATAAGCCACAGATCACTGCTTGGGTCAGGCTGGGCATTGGTCAGCAGATGGTAAGAAATTGTATCATGCATAATTTTGTTTTTTTTTCCTTGTGTTTTATTCCTCTCTCTCTTCATTATAATTAAAATAATAATAATTATTATTAATAATAATAACTACTGTTATTATTATTTTATCTCAATTATTAAACTGTTTTTATCTCAATCCATGAGTTTTACCTATTTTTCTGATTCTCCTCCCTATCCCACCAGGGGTGCAGGCAGTGAGCAAGCAACTCTGTAGTACTTATTAACCAGCTGGGGTTAAACCACAGCAACTATATTAAATATTCTGTAATTTGAATTTGCTGTGTTCACCCATACACAAGCCAGGCCTTTCACAAAGCACAACTCTATCTAGTGAAGGAGCACAATGAAGCATAATAAAAACTCTCAGCAGGCAAACCATTATTCTAAATGAGATGCCTATTTTAAGTCATGTCGAATACCAGAGATTTCCTTAGAAGAAAGAGTTTCTGAAAGGTTAGGCAATTAAGAACCTTTTATCAATCTGAAAGTGAAGCAGAGGAAAATTCCTTTCCTCCTTGGGATTCATTAGTCAACAGATGAGAGAGGTGTAAGCTTCAAGCTGGCACCTAATCCATGTCCATTTCTATGACTTCTGACTTCAGACACATTGGAGGCTTGCTCATGCTTATCAACACCATCAGATTTCAGTGGTGTTTCTATTAACATAAGTTAAATGTGTCCTGTTGCTTAATGTGGTAATCCGTTTACAATTCACAAGTGGAAAAGAGCCACTTCTTAAGAGTGGGGCATGCATATCACTAACACTTTATCTAAGATGAGATCCTGTTCCCACTGCAATGAGTACACTTTCTCACTGACTTCCAGAAGGCACTAATTTGGCTCTTAAACCTCTCATTATCATATTAAAAAGTATTTCTAAAAACATATACTACTCTGAGACAGACAAGTCATGTACAGAGAGTTTCAGGCAATGAAGAAAGCTCAGTATTTGAACTACTGAAAGGAAAGCTACAAGAGATGCACCCGAACTGGAGGGAAACTACCACAAGGGGTCAGGAAAAGTGGCTGGAAGGCTGGAAGCAGCTGATGCAGTGAGAATGGGCAGAGATCTGAGCTCATCTGAACTACAGCTGTGACAAAACACTCCTTAAAAAAAAATAAAAAATCTTACTGAAGTCTGCAAATAAATCTAGGCCAAATTAAAAACTGGTTCCTTCTTAATCTATATTCCCTCAAGACAGCTATTTATGCTGTAGCAATTTACATGTAAAATTTGTTTTTCTGTCCGCTTTGTCCCCTCATTGTTTAGGAAGTCCAGACCCTCCAAGCAGAATTGTGTCTGGCTGGCTGTCAAGCTCAGCTAGAGAAGCCACCATCCTTCAAGAGGACCATGAGCTGTCAGACTCCACCTTGCCTCCTTGAATAAGACAATTTAGGCATAATTGAGGCTGAGATAAAAACTGTGTAACAGCAGCAACAACAAACCCTCTGCTTAGCACAGACACAGATATGCTGAAAGCACTACATAAACATTCTGCACTGCAAAAACCTAGTGAGGCTCAGAATTATTTTCATGTCTGTATTACAGATGGGAGATTGTAGTAGCCTTCTCATTTCCTGGGGATGATTTGACAGATCTCACTCTGTCTAAATGACAGGCACTGGAGTTTATCTACTTACTGTTAAGGCATGAAACAGAAGACAAGCACTGTGCCTTAAGAAGCCAAATTCTGTAATTCTGCTGCTGAGGAGGAGGAGGAAATGCTTTGGAGCAAAAGTTCTTGGGCAAACAAGAAAGCTGTATCTGTGCAGAATGTGCATTATCAGTATTTATAGCTAACATGATGCAAACATTGATGGAACTGAAGCGATACCAATACCTTCCACTGTCCCAGAACACTGAGAAGGAAGCCAGCATTGCTGCAATCCTCCCTGGAAGAATGGCCAAAAGAAGACTTTTCAGGAAATCCTCAATAACTCCTTTTCAGCTTGCTGACAGTTTGTCACTTAGATTCTCACATAAAGTGTTTGACATGGTCCCACAGAACATCCTTGTCTCTAAATTGGAGACGTCCACCACTGGGTGGATAAAGAACTGGCTGGATGGCCACATGCAAAGAATTGTGGTCAATGGCTCAATGTCCGGCTGGAGACCAGTAACGAGTGGTGTCCCTCAGGGATCAGTGTTGGGACTGGTCTTGTTTGGCACCTTTTTGGTGACACGGACAGTGGGATTGAGTGCACCCTCAGCAAGTTTGCCAATGACACCAAGCTGTGTGGTTCGGTTGATACGCTGGAAGGAAGGAATGCCATTCAGAGGAAGCTCGACACGCTTGTGAGGTGGGCTGATGCCAACCTCATGAAGTTTAACCATGCCAACTGCAAGGTCCTACACCGGGGTCGGAGCAATCCCAGGCACAGCTACAGGTCGGGCAGAGAAGAGATTCAGAGCAGCCCTGCGGAGAAGGACTTGGGGGTGTTGGTTGATGAGAAAATGAACATGAGCTGGCTTCAGTGTGCGCTCACAGCCCAGAAAGCCAACCGTATCCTGGGCTGCATCAAAAGGAGCGTGACCAGCAGGTCGAAGGAGGTGATCCTGCCCCTCTACTCTGCTCTCGTGAGACCTCACCTGGAGTATTGTGTGCAGTTCTGGTGTCCTCAACATAAAAAGGACATGGAACTGTTGGAACAAGTCCAGAGGACGGCCATGAGGATGATCAGGGGACTGGAGCACCTCCCGTATGAAGACAGGCTGAGGAAGTTGGAGCTGTTCAGCCTGGAGAAGAGAAGGCTGCATGGAGACCTCATAGCAGCCTTCCAGCATCTGAAGGGGGCTTATAAGGATGCTGGGGATGGACTCTTCATTAGGAAATGTAGTGATAGGACAAGGGGTAATGGGTTAAAACTTAAACAGGGGAAGTTTAGATTGGATATAAGGAAAAAATTCTTTCCTGTTAGGGTGGTGAGGCACTGGAACAGGTTGCCCAAGGAAGCTGTGAATGCTCCATCCCTGGCAGTGGTCAAGGCCAGGTTGGACAGAGCCTTGGGTGAGATGGTTTAGTGTGAGGTGTCCCTGCCCATGGCAGGGGGGGTCGGAACTAGATGATCTTAAGGTCCTTTCCAACCCTAACTATTCTATGATTCTATAACCTTTAGGCAAAAGCCAGAGTTTGCCAGCAGCATCCCCAGGTTTCTTACTTGCAGGTAAATGGAGACTTTTAATTTCAAGCCTCAATGCTTTCCTACCATATCATGAACAAAAATTCTACCCCACCAACACCCTAAACTGGACAAAGCCTCTCAGCAGGGTTTCAATATAGGTAAGTAAATATTCCTGACTTTTCCGGTGATTGTTTCCCCTACCTCTCTGCTTCTCCACCAGAACAGAAGGGGCTTTAATGAAATGACAAAATATCCAAGAACTTCCCACTGGGCAAAACTTTTAATTTAATGCCTTGATAATCATTCTCTACAAATAGCAGGGAGTAGGAAATCAAATGTAAACAGAAAGTGCTTAATCTATAAGGTCATTTATAGAAGCCCTCTTGCCTGCTAAGAGATGAGAGTGATTGTACCAACAGGTAAGGCTTGTTTTAAATGAGATGTCCCCAAGCCTGTCTATAAGAAGCTGAGAGCAGTACATGCTCTCCTCACAGCAGAAATCCTCCTTATGCCATCTGCCTACAGATAGAAATCTTAAAAGATTTTAGTAAGAGAAATCGTGTAAGTTTTGCTGATGTTTGCCGCTTAAGAGACAATATGGTCATTTCTTCTCTGTGTCATCAGTATAAAATGGCATTGCCAGGACACTTTGCTTAGCTCTGTGGGATTCCCTCTTCCTCACTTCCTCCCCAAATGTGAAACAACTCCAGGACTTAACATTTTTTTATGACTGCTTCTTTAAACACAGCAAAACACTTGCTTAGTGAGTTCTTTTTTCCTAGTTTGACTGCAAAAGCCTATGTCAGAAGTCAAACATTTTACAGATCTTCCAAAGTTCAGAGGTTAGTTGAAATGCTTATTGGCTCTAGCAGTGTTTGATACCAAGAGAGGTGCACTGCGTGTGTATCTTCAGAGGAAAAAGTTCCTGGAGACTCAAGGAACAGAAGATTGTAGGAAATCGTCTGAGAGCTGGAAGAAAAATGAACATTTCTGGAACATGATGGTTTGACTTAGCTGAGGTGAGACCTTTCAGCTGTGCCACAGCCTTCCTACATAGTTCCTCTTTGTTTCAGTTCTCTATTTGTAAAACAGGAATGATTTGACTCCACTCATGCCATAAAATTAATAACGTAATTAGGGTTAGGTATCTGAATACCAAAACCAATCTGGGACATGAAGCCCTGTACAGAATCTGAGACAAGAAATGGAGTTACTAACATGAGAGTGTCAGTAACATTCCTGGCAATGAAAGGGTAAAACTAAGGCTCATCAGGAAGCAAAAGGAAGGACAAGTACATCTTGCATTGGCCTGGAGCAGGCAACTGGTGAAGCAATAAGAGGAAGTGTTTCCCACCATACTCTGAGAAGAACCTAGAAAAAGCTAATAAGAAAGTCAAAGAATTTCCAAATCATTTTTTCCTGGGTCCATGGTTTGTGTATACAATTAATTGCACTTTCAGTCAGCCTTCAGTCTACAAGCACCTGTTTCTGCTCAAAAGGAGGCGTCAAGGCACCTGATGTGGCAGACAGCTGAGGCTGCAAGGAAGGAGACACTGAAACGTTCCAGTACTATTCATACTCTTAAAATGCTAATAAATCCCAACAGCAGCTTTAATGCTGCTTTGTTTTAAATAAGAGATCACAAGCGTGACAAGACACTAAACTCTGCAACTACAAAATTTTTATGCAAGAGCCAACTGCACCTCATTTTGTCCAAATGATTCTCTTAAAGTCCAAGGGAGAAACAGGCATTTTATCATTGCTACATATAAAGTGAATGTTTAGCCTCCGATCATTGCTGGAATAAGTGGAAAGTGTTCTTTCCTGTAGCCAGAGAAGCCAATGCCATCTCATCTGTTCTTATGCACAGCAACAACTGGATAACTTGTGCATCAAGTCCCCAAGCTTGTTTAAATAAAGTACATCATAACCAGCTCAGAGATATGGGCTAAAAAGGTGAAGATGCAGCTACGCAGATTCTTTGCTTCCATACAGAATGAAGTCAATAGCACAGCTGACTGCTTATTCAAGAGCATGTGCACATCCAGCTCTCTGTCTTGTATGGCAACCTATGCATGGACACTCTCCAATGAGATAGTCCTAGACCTCGTTAAAAACAAGGCTTGTTTTTTTAGTGAACCTAGGAATAAAAACTTTAAACATGAATTATTGGCTTGCTGCTTCTTATTTCAAAGGTATGCTGCAGCAAACGTGGGGAAAGGGCTGAGTAAAACTAGGCAGGCAAATCAAATCAACTATATACACAAAAGGCTGACACTGCAAATTAATTACCTGGATGTTTAGTCAAAAGCCTTACAAGCACTTTGGAGGAATTTCAGGTGAGTGAACACTGAAGTGCATGTGTTTTATGACAGACCTAATTATTTATATAGCATTCAGGATACTTCTTATGCTGCTTTTGTAGAAGAAACCTTTTATTTACATATAAACAAGCCCCTCTTCAGAGTATTAAACTAGTTGGGAAAAAAATTATACTAATGTCCTCAATAGCAGTGACACCAGCGAAGTTGGATGCCATCATGACCTAACATCATCATTTTATTTCCAGTACAAAACTCCCTTTGTAGAAGGTTTTCTTCATATTCTTACCCCAAAGATGACTGACACAAGAAAGCTTCTACCCCCTGTCTCCAGGTATGTATCCCACCAACTGCTGCTCTCAGCAATGCTCCTCTGTCTTCATACATTAGTCTTGTGTCCCACAGATCTCACAAACTATCCCTCAGAGCCATCATCTCCTTCCTGTGCAGCCCCTCCAATTAATTCAAATAATCCTTTCCCAGACAGGATCCTGTAATAGTTATTTGTTCCTTGCATGTCCCAGTAAACAGTAATTTTGCCTTGATCTCTAGTGGCTACAGGACCACACTTTTACCAGGTGTAAAGACTTGCCTGAGCTATGTTTATGTATTGAAATTTCATGTACACTGAATCCAGGCCATCAGAAAAGGGAAATGCTTGTTCTTTCAAACCCCATGCTTAGGTTTAGGATATTCCCAGGGTATCTGTATTCAGCCTCTTTGCCTTCTTCCCCATTATTTAAAAAAAAAGGATAATCACTTTTATTTGTCCTCAACGACCATCAATATAACCTCAGATAAGCAAATTGGGAAGGATGCTAATTAATATGATACTTGCTGTTGAGCTTTTTTTTTGCCAATAGCCATGAAAAGTGGGTTGCATTTGTGTTTCAAATGCTAACAACCTGTTATCTCCATATATTCAGACAAAAAAAAAAATCACAACCCCCCTCTCAACCACCTAGGGATGCACGTCAATAGAGCCTGAGCTCCAATTAGCTGTCACGAAGACTTGAGGTAAATCAAAGCAGTGAGACAAGCTGTTTCCCGTGTAGGAACTAATGACCATTGTGTGATTATTTATTAGGCAAAACAGTGACATTGGACACAGACTCCTCTGCAGATGCTGTGATCTGGGAAAGGGGAAGCCAGCAGTTTACTCACAGAGATGAAGGACTTGGCAATCTGCCCACTAATCTATTTGCTGCAGCCATCCCATGGGATCAACCTTTGCTTCAATAATTTACAATACTCATTTAGTTAGTTTAAAGGTGAATGAGAGAGCTTTCAAATAGGAGAGAGCACCACTAAAATATCAGGGGGAGAAGGGATAGCTAAGGCAAAACATACCCTATGCTCCCACTGTGGTATGAGAAGATGAATGAGTCCCACAAACCACATAAGTGTGGCCTATCTGAAAATCCATTTATCTGAGTAACTGAAGTTCATTTCCTCTTAAATTCATGACTTTGGTAGGAAAATATAAGCCAAAATACAGAATTTGTCCACTGCTGTAAGAATACATCTCTGCAAAAATCAAAACTATTAAACCCCAGCTAGATCAGGCCTCTGATGGCACCTGAACTTTGCCGGGGGCTATGGGAAAGGCACACAAACTCCCCATGGCGGATTACAGGCAGTGGCATTGTCCACTGGCAACTACTAACAATGAAGGTAAGCAGCAAAGCAAGCAGAGGAGAAGGCTGGTTAAATCATGTCCTCAGGGGAAGAAATTTTCCTGATTTCTTAGAACAAGGGGAACAAATGTCTACTGATAAGCCACATTTTTGTAACTAAAAGACCCATTAAAACCCAAACCAAAACAGTCCACTGAAGGGTTAAAATCTCTTACTGCTTGGAGAAACTTGCCTGGAAAGAGTAATTCTGTGGAAACAAATTAAAGAAGCTGTGTCTTCCTAGATCCAGGGAATGTTAATTCTTAGGGGAAAGAGAGATTTCACACACAGCTTGCTTTCTTTTTCTTAAGATATGCTTTATCTGAAATTAACTCATTTTAAATAAATAATGCTGTGAGGATAACTACCATTGTCCTTGGAGGGAGCAGACCAGAAGATGAAATCAGGTTCACTACAACAAGTTTTATGCCTACTGTGGGGTGGTCTCCACTCAGCGTGAAAGTGGGAGAAGTGCAGAACACACCCCCAGAGAGAGGACGGCACAAGTTGTAGATCCAGGGATGAAACCAAGGGCTTTGGAGTAACTTCAGCTACTTCACAGAAAGTCAGTAAGACCGTCGGAAAAGTTGCCTGACTTTATTTTGAAAAAAATGAACAGAATCTCAATATCCTCCTGGCTGAAGACCAGACAAGGGATCATCTCCTTACCTATATTTTCTACCTTGAAAACATGTTCACTTTTTCCAATCACATAGACGTGTACTTGTAAGAATCGCACATTATGCTAAATGCCATCTCCTCATCTAGTAGAAATCTGCCTGGCTCCACTAACATCAATGTAGTTGCTCACATTTCTAGCAACTTGGATTTGTCACATGGTGTCTCCAGTGGCTCGAAACCATGTTTTTATTAGGGTACATTCATTCAAGGTCATAAATGATCCCCTCTGCGAAACAACATCTCTGACACCCTGGGAGTTCTGACTTTCAGCAACTGGAATTACTGTTTTTAATCCTCAGGTAAGCATTCCAGTGGAGATATTGTAAAGTGGATGCCTTGGAATAAAATGTCTTGGAAAGCTAGTAGACAACAAAAGCAACTTAAGTGAATTACTGCTGTTAAATGCCTCCCTTGTTTTAATGAAATGAACAATTGCAGCTCTTCACTGCACTTCATTGAAAACAGATTTTACTGTGAATGGAATGATTTGGGACTCAAGTCATTGCAAATGAATAAACTACATGGAGATTGCTTTCCACAATAACAGAAAACAAGCAAGTAAACAAACTGCCAGTCACACTTATACAGCACAAAATGCAAGTTTCCAACACCCTCTCTATTTCTAATGAAGCCAGAAAAAAAAAGCCACATTTCTCATTGGAAGTCACACTGGTTGAATGGAAAGGGAAACATGGTTGTTTCCCCACGTGTTAAATAGAGCTAAGTGACAGTACCTTCAACTGAGTAAGGTGCTGGAGGACTATGGTATTTCCATATAGAACAGAATTACATATGCTGGGATGCTAAGTTTTTTACATGAAAAGTAGCATTTACCAAATGAACAGCAGACATCCTGCTAAATGGCAGCCAAGCTGGATAAAAGGAGAAACAAAAATCTTAAAGAAAGGTTCACCTCAAACTGCTGCTACTTGAGGAGCCATCCTATATCCCAGAACATGATACATGCACATGCCAGGTGCCAAACCCAGCTGCAAATTTGCAAGAAATTTGTCTTTCCTCCCAGACCCCATGGGGTGAGCAGTGGAAGACAGCATCAGCACCACCACTCTGTGGCAGAGGCAGTGTTTCAAACCACCCAGGGCACATGCCAATTTCTTTTGTAACTGCATCATCATGTAAATGGTGACAGACAGCCTGTGTATCTTGGTATCAGTGGCCATCCACTCCTGATAGTGGAGTCAGGAGACACCAAGAAGTCTCAGTTCCTCAACTACCTGGTGATCCTGAATGAAGGGAAAGGATACTCAGAGCTGCAACTGGAAAAGTCAACAAAAGCCAGCATAAAAAATGCACATACTGTTCATGTGAGCAGCAAGGGACACAACAGAGATTATGATTTGAGCCATCCTCACCTAACCCCACAAAACCCAGAATGCTAGTAAGTATTTGAAGATCACATACCACATGTAGCTGAACTAGAGCAGACTCCCCAGTGAAATGGGACACCCATGTTATGTCAGAGATGAGTCCCAGCCCAAATACAAAGGAGCCACCATTTGGAAAAAAGGAAGGGAATTTGCAAAATTGGTGCCTCTCAGCCTGCCTCCCTCATAAGAACTGAACAAGGTCACATCTAAGAGAGAACTATATCTATATAGGTCAAGGTCACGTCTACAGAGAACTATAGAGACTCAATCAGATAACTGCTGGTCAAATCACCCTCTTCTTCAGATGGCAATCACTTCTAACCAGTTTTAATCTCCAAACACCTCTGTTTTGCCTCTGGGATTAAACTACAGTAGTTTGGCTCAAAGATACTACATACTACAGTAGCTAGTGTCTGGAATTGCCTTTAAAAATATGCAAATCATCTGAAGCTTATTGTCAATCAACTACAGCTCAACCTGCCCCTTGTAGTCAGTACAAGCATAAAGTATGAGCTGTATCCTGTTACCAACCTTCTATGCTAAAATATCCCCTTTCTCTCTCTTCCATAAAACCTCGAGTCTTAAAAGCATTCTGTCAGTAACAAAACCATTGTGCTTTCTTATTCTTATTATTTTAATTTTTTTTTTTGTAGTTTACACCTACTCTGCTTTCACGCAACTGACTTCACTCAGGACAGAAGCCTTCTAGAAGTTGTTTCTGACATATGGAAGTGCCCCTTTTAGAAATGGCATCAAGGTCCTGGAAATAATCCAGTCAGACTAAGCAACCACCAATGATGAATCAGAAACAAATCTCTGTCAGAAGGGTGAGTTATCCCTTGGAGAGGAGCAGAAAACAAAATGAAAAGTTAAATCTGCCACATAGGACAATGGTCTCAAGAACACCTCTGAGGATGCTGTTCAGCTGCCTCTGACTTGCTTTGTATTTATTGCTTGCACTTCTATCTATTCAAAATGAGCCCCTCTTTCCTAATTGAGAGATCGGCTTTTTGCCAAAGAGAAGCATTGATCCCAAGTCTCTTCTTAAAACTGGAAACTATCTCCTTTCTCTCATTCCCCTTGGATTCTCCGGTATGTAATAGTACCAGTGGTCTGAAACTCTTTTCTGCATGTGGCATTCATCTAGGTCTCTCCACCTATGCAAGCCTACTGCTTTTGACATCTCTAAAAGAGCTCAAATCAGCCATCAGGTTCTAGGTTTATGTGGTTCAACAGAAAGGTCAGGGCAGCCACACTGAATGTACTGGAAAAAGTAAAATTTATGAACATGGAACATTATTAAAAATAAAGGATTCATTCAGTGGGGTTTTTAGTGAGTTCTCTACCTACAGTTATTTGGTATTTTTCTGCTTGCTAGCAAAGGAAGTATAAAAATCACTGCTAATGAAATTTTATAGATAACACACAAAACTTGCTGTGCATTAAATAATCTGCTAATCTCATTTGGCCTGCTTGGTTACAGAGCCTCGGGGCTTATATAGCCAAATATCAGAACAGACATTTAAGAACGAAGACAAGAGGTCACACTACAAGACTGGAAATCATATTATGGAAAGCAGGAGATCTGT